TTTGTGCCCCGACACGAGACCCAAGGAGTCGGTTTGTATCTCGGCCGGTCGGCCTGAGCGAGCAAAGCTTTGGGCATTTCTGGCTCCGCATTCCACCTGCCGACACCGAGCCTCACAAACCCTGACTGCAGCACATTCCAGCGGCCGCGCCGCTGCCCGTCACGCAGGCAGACATCGGGCCTCCGTTTGGGGAGAGGACACTACCAGTGTCTCAGCCCCGTGACACGAATGCACGCCGAGCTGACTCACAGCGCACATCCCCGTGTGAGCCACTAATACCGAAAACAACCAGTTTATACCCCATGTTGGCAAAACAGGACCATTCGTCCCACTGCTGCAAATCCCTGAGAAGATGCAGAGACCGTGAGTCACAGTTTGGCCTCAAACAGGCGTCCACAGAGGACACAGCTGACAAATACACACAATCCTCCATGTGTGGAGGCCCGAGAGCCAAACAGGAACGCTGCGGGCTCAAAACCAGGTTTTTGTGTCGTGACCCAGATTCAACAAGACGTTTCATACAGAGATCATCTTTCCTCTCCATAAACCAGCACTTTGTATTTGTCTCAGTTATCTTTGTCTAATATTAAATGTGAAAAAGTCCGAATGAGGCAGGCGCTCACAGCGCTGCACGCTCTGACGTGGCTGTGACATCATCGAATCAGGCGGGCCTAAACAAACAAAGTCAGCTCTGCCTGATATTTACATGACATCATCAACTTCAGCTTCTGTGACTCTAACATCATCATCCTCCAGCTGACCCCACACCTTCACACCAAGCAGACCAATCGGTGCTGGGCGGAGCTCGTGGAGAGTGACGTCATCATAACAGTCACTCACAAACACACGTGACAGCACGTGCTGTTTAGACTTTAATCACAAATGTCTGAACGGAGCTAAAATACCAAGGTAGTAAAAGTTGAGCAGGACAGGCGCGGGCTGACGTGAAGCATCATCTCCCACCTCACATATTATCACTTTAAATTCCTCCCACGGCACGCCGCCAGCTGGACTCGCGGGCCGTTCCTGTGGAGCCACAGACGGAGGTCAGAAAGAATCTGCAGCAGCTGTGAGCTCGTCCTGAAACCACCTCACAGCTCACGGTAGAAACTGTGAAAGAGTTTCAGATGAAGGGCTCGCCGCCTCACACACGACGATGACCGGTGCTGAGCATTGAAGCTGCACACGGGAGCTGCATTTACACCTCGACCAGCAGGCGCGACTTCCTGCTGAGATCGGCGCTTGAACAGGCCTTTCATCGGTGGCCTCACAGGGGCATTCATCCTCCTCCATCCTCCTCTGGGGTCTGTGGGCAGCGCCGCCGAGGGCTGACGGGCAGGGAACGGCTAATTCTGGCACGCCTGGCTGAGTTGCCCCCTTTGTCCTGGATGAAGCTATTTATAGTCCGGCGTATGACGCACCCGCTTAAAGACAAAGGGACACATGTTTGGGACGGACAGATGTGGAGCTGCGTGTTCTCCAGCTGAGCCGAGCCGCTGCGACATGCTGACCAGCGCACGCCGGAGAATTTCCGCCCTTTCAGGGCAGCGGAAGAAAAACATGAACAACAAAAAGCTCCAAAGACAATCAGAGAAGGAAGGGGAGGTCACTGAGACGCACTACGCCACGGCGAGGACGCTGTGGGCGTGAGGGCCTCGGTTTGGGAGAGATCAGCTGACCCAGGCTGGGAGTCGGTGCTGACGAGGCCCGCCACAGGGTCAGAGTTCACTGTGAGGGAAGGGCAGCAGCCGCTCACAATCGTCCTCATCCTTCTTTTACTCATCCTTGCCGCTCTAACGTGTCTCTGAAACGCCACGAGGGGCCGCACGCAGACGCAGCATCGTGACAGCATCAGTGGTTCTCCTCCAAACACGCCAAAGCGAGCAGATCCAGATGTGCGAGGCTTCAGTTTTAAAAGCAGAGCGAGAGTTTGCGCCCCCTCGCTCACTGAAACTCTCTCAAGTCTTTGTCTCTCCGCCCTCTCCATCCTTCTTCTGTGGTTCCTTCTCCTCGGACGCTCCATCAGATGTTGTGCTCCTGGCTGAGGCTGTAAGACAGTCGTGCTCGATGCAGAGATTCTGAGACCACCATCAGCTTCTTCCTGTTTCCCGATGCCCGGTCACAATGGCCGTCAGAGCGTGGAAAAACGTCCGTGCTCCCAATGTGCAGTCTGCTTCCAGCGTGGCTCTTCTTCTCCACACTTGGGCTGAGGGACGGCTGAACAGCGAGGAGCTGCTCGGTATGGCAAAACGTCTGATTCAGGTGCAGAGACCATGATTATAAACAAACAAATAAACAATCAATAAACAAGGAAGAACTGAACTCTCACAGAACAGCTGGGCAGGGAACAGCTGGGCAGGGAACGGCCCCCCCAGAGGACTTTTTAGCCCAATACTCTGACGCCAAACCTGAAGGTCGGGCTCAGCGTCAGATACGAGCTCAGGCCTCAACAAACCCCAGAATGAAAGCACAGCAGAATAATCACATCTATGACTCACATATTTACATTTTCAATAAAAAACTGAAGCAAAGATCTTTGACGTCACAGCTAGAAAACGACCACGCCCACCCGGACATCAGCTGACCCCCACCCTCACTGTGTTTATCTTTCTCATATTTGTTTTATATTTACAGTGAATGAAGCGTCAGAGCTGTTCTACTCAGAAAAACTATCAATCACATAACTGCAGTTTTTGGAAACGTCGCTGGACTCGAGACGAAAACCAAAGACAAATATGATGAACACAAACGTGCGAGACCCCTGATTGGCTCCGGTGTACAAATGCAAACACACAAGAAGCAAAAAGCAACACCAGGATCTGCTGATGTGTCCCTAAAACACCGGCTGGGACAGTTTAGGGGGACACAAGCCCCAGAATCTAACTTCAGCTTCATACCAGCTCGGTTGGACCTCTTTCAAGGACCTGCAGGCTTCCTGTGACCTCACAGATCGACTTTTAAGGAGGATCCACCGGATTCCTCCTGAGCTCAGCTGAAAACTTTCCTCTTCTCCAGCTCGGAGACCCTAAAAGCGCCTCTCCTGCACTCTCTGATCCCCAGAACCTGCAGCAGCACGGCTCGGTGTGCACACGTCCCCCTCCACCCTCACTAACACTAACTCGGACCGTGTCTCGGGCCTCCCCCTCCGCAGGCTTGCGGATCGAGCCGCTCTCCGCCGGGAGAAAGTACTCACAGGATGGTGGTCTGCGGAGAGACCGCCGGCACCGTCTCCAGGTTCAGATGCATACATCTCACCGTGGTCCGGAAACACAGGCAGCGGCTCGGACAGCACAGGCCGAACCGCCGAACCGCGCAGAGCAGCAGCAGAGAGGAGAGCAGCGCAGCCCGCAGCGCCATTTCTAACCGAGCAGAGCCGAGCGACCAGCTGCCCCCTCACACACACACACACACACACACACTCAGAGAGGAGGAGGAGGAGAGGCAGCACACACACACGCACACACACACGCAGGCTGGAAGCTCGCAGC